TAAGCTCGTTAATTATAAATGTGTGTGTGTGTGTGTGTGTGTGTGTGTGTGTGTGTGTGAGTGCAGTTGTGCCCGCCAATTTATATAATTATCGTTTATATACATACGTATACCTATATACCATACGGATTTACGAGAGGATAACAAGGGACGAAGGGAACGGAAACAAGAAAAAAACGCTGATACTGCTGCTAATGGGTGTGCCACCATTGTAGATGGGAAGTTGGGAAGGTATCGTATAAATAGGATAATTTAATTTATATCCATATACATACCTAACGATAAATCGTAGATTACGAAAAATGATTCTGAACGAAGTTCGGTTAAACGTGTTTTGAAATTCCGTGATTTCTACGATTTTTGTCGAAATTTCTACTTTGAAATTTAAATGACAAGATTGAAACTTTTTTTTACTTTTTAACCTAACGTTTTTCCTCATTATCTCGAATATTATGATCATTTTAAAAAATGACCTTCCTAAAGCACCAACTACAGCCAAAGTTAATAAAAGAAGATCTCTTGTCACGTTTTGATTGGAGCAAGATTCCTAAGAGAAATTTTGTAAACAGTATAAAAAAAAAAGTTGAAAAGGTAGATTAGAGAAGGGAATTTAATGTATATCTGTAAGCAACGATAAACCATTGCTGAAGAAAAAACGATTCCGAGCGGAGCTCAGTTTATAGTGATGCTTTGTCAATAATATATATGTTATACTGTGGTAAAATAATTAAATAGCCATTATATTATTTTCTTTAACAATATTTGTTTAATATTGTACCAAATTTCCTGTATTTTCTATGTTTTTCCTTGTTTTTCACATTTGCTGGGGAAATCAGAAAATGACCTCCTTAAAGTACCACCCCAAGAAAATTAACTTTCAGAAAAGAGTATACATTCTATACATCGGAGTAAGCTTTTCGATAGAAAAAGAGTTTACATAAAAAAAAAAAAAACATCTTTGTAAAACCAATTACACTACTTTCGCTGCAATCACTACACTCAGAATCTAAAATAATAATTATAAGCACTTAAAAAATCATAATCATATTTAGCAATAATAATAATAATCAAATCAGCATCATAATAATCATCAAAACTTTTAATAACATTACTCAACAATAATAATAATCAACACACAACTATCAATAATAATAATAATAATAATCATTAAAAAATACTAATCTCATTATCATTATTATTATTGTTATTATTGTTATTATTATTATTGTTATTGTTGTTGTTGTTATTATTATTGTTGTTGTTATTATTATTATTATTATTATTATTATTATTATTATTATTATTATTATTATTATTATTGCTGCTTGCTGGTAGAAAAGTTATCCACAGGAAAAAAGAGATCATAATATTTTACTAATACATCTCTACATATCCCTCTCACCCACCCCCTGTTTGACCGTCTCTGATATTTACTATCATTAGAATAATATATAATATAGTATTATCAGCGAAATGAATATTCTGTATTTCCAACGACAATCCGATTAAAAATTAGGTACTTAAGTATTTTTAAAAAAAAAATTCTCACCGAGCACACACTACGTAATAATTGGCCTCTAGCGTAATCATCCACGGGATCCACGGGTTTTAACGAAATTAATTATTCTACATAACTGAAAATGATTGAATTATTCAAAATCATCTAAAATTCCAATTCTGGTGTGAAGGGAGGGAGATGGTGGTACCAAATCTTGTCTAGTTAGTGCGTTGGAGTCATCTTTTAATTTTGTTTTTAAATCGTCTTTTTACTATTATTAAGGGAAAAAACGGGTCAACTTACGTAATAATGGTTTCTATTATTTTCAATTTTTTTTTTTTTTTTTAATTCACTTAAAAATGTATGCAGAGACTTTAAATCTTCACTGAATACTTATATTAGCTATTTCTAAAAATTATACACTTTTCAATGATTTTTTCTAGCTATTTGTAGTCATTTGACATTTTTTAGTTAAATTTATTCGGTTGAAATTGTTTTGGCTCCGCAAAAATGCTCGAAAATTTTGAACAAATCACAAAACGTACCCGAAACCTTCGGTAATTAGCTTTAATTACCCGAAGGCCAAGGGATACTACTACGTCCTAATGTGCCGCGGTGTTTTAACACCAAAATACCTCCTCCAATCTCCGACGCCTTAACCAAATGATCGCGATACTTCCTGATGGTTTTCGGCTAAGGTGCCGGGTAGTTCTATATTTCACCAGGTAGGTACGCATTGATATCAAAAGAACACGATAACTAGTACCGAATCAAAACAAAAACCTATGTATATGTATATATATATAGTGAATATATCGGCCAGTGAGTACCATAAAACGCTATAGGTAACCTTGTGAAAACGTAAGAATAACTAAACACAAATGATAGTCTTCCAAAATATAACAGAATATTTTATTCAAACGCTGACTTACTTAACTTACTTAACTTACTAACTTATCAACAACACAACAAATTATGTATCTAAAGACTTACGAAACTTAAGCTAAGTTTTTACCTTCTCAATTATAGGGTCTAAACGACAATAAAAGCTAAATAAATAATCCGTATTCATATTAAGGATGTAAAAAAAAAAAAAAGTATTTAATGAAAAAATTCCCTATTCCAACCGAAAAAAGTTATTGCCAACCTAAAAAATAAATGTTAAAATCACAAATAAATGATTTTGACTCTCCTGAAAATTATGAATTATGTTGCTTAGAGTACTTAGACCCTTTTGCCGCCGTGTCACCATCGATATTATCGTAGCAGAGATTAATATGGACAATAAATAACAAAACTGACCGATATTGTTTTAACATAAAGTTAATTTCACATTAATCGCATGTAAATATACGGGTCTCCGGTCTATCGGATTAATAAGCCCTACATAATTACCATGTATTATCATTGACCGTGTACCTATTGAGGTATTATAATATAATTAACGGCGAGCACGGGCGTGGAAATAAGTCCGGAAACAGCGTTTGAGGCAGATTATTGTTATTATTTTTTTTTAATTTCGTCCACCTCGTAAAACAATATTATACGAATTCGCGCACCCACCGTGTGCTCACCGATTTCCATATCAGTAACGGACATCCCTGTTAGTTATTTAAAGGCATTTGAATTCATTGAGTTTTTTTTTCAGTTTTATGCATGTATACGCATAAATTTATACAATTATTGTTTTAGCCGGACAGAAATGCTTGAAAATTGAATAGTTATGAGGTTCATTGTAAGTCATGCATAATGAAAAAAAAAAAAAGTTAAGCGTGATGAAGTAATTTTATATTATAGAAGAAAAAAGTTCAAATTTTGATTGAAAATATATTTTGATAAAACAAGCAAAAATATGTACTGTCTCATATGCGTTCCAATTAAATACTTAAAACAAATAGTATAATACCTATACGAGAAGGTACGCTGACATTTCTGAAAAATTAGTCTCCTCCTCACCAAGCCGAGCACTGCTGTACAGACTTAAAGTCAACATCGAACATAAAACAAACATTTTAGGTTATGTACACAATGATCAACATAACGTAATAGACACTCATTATCTCTGAAAGTATTAGCTTTTTTCGGAATTTGTTTTTAGACAATTTAAGAAGCAAATAGCTCTAGAATCAGTGCCGCAACTAAGTTTTTTGGGCCCTAGGACAGCAGAAGTTTTAATGCTCCAATTGTCCATACATCATGTAATCTCTTCCTGTAATAAATCGCTTTCAACCCTACCACAAGTATACTATAACCACGATGTTTCGTAGGATGATTTATCAATTTTTTGTACATCAGTGTTCCGTAAACAAAATAAAAAAACACAAAGACCAAAAATTATATCATTAGAATTATATTTAAATATCACTTACTCAACTAGTTTGATAACAAAATCAAAATAAAGAAATACATGTAAAATAAAACGTAACTATTACCAGTATTATTTTAAATAATCAAAGTATAAATCTCTATTTTAAAACTTCATCCTCCTGCCTTTAAATTTGAAAAATCTACTGTAATTTTATCTAAAGATAACTCTTTAAAACGATGCTGTTCAATGTTTAAAACTGCAATATTTGATTATCAGTTCTGTCTCATTGACTTCCCCAGTGAGTTCATAGTTTTTAATTATTTTCAGTTTTGGATCCCGCAACAAACATTCGACAATCGATCAAGTCCATCGCGTCACTAACATTATAAGTAAAGATCTTGAAGAAAAATATTTCTGTTGTGGAGTGTTCCTTGACGTGGCTCAAGTTTTTGACAAAATCTGGCACAAGTGTTTCCTCATCAAATTGCGTGATCAACTGCTGCATACCTGGTGTGCACTTTATGAATCATATTTAACTGACCGTCAATTCCAAGACATACATGAAGAGACAGTAACCTAATGGAAATATATATCAACTGGAGTACCACAAGGTAGTATCTTAAGACTCCTGTACCTACTCTACACAGCTGATAAACCAAATGATGACAATACAACGATAGCTATGTTTGCCAATGATATGGCAATTTTGTCGACAAGTAAAAATCAGCTACCTGCAACTGATAACTTACAAAAATCAACTGACAATGTCTTTGCCTGGACGAGACGTTCGAAAATTAAGATAAAAAGGTGATAAATCAGTACATGTCAACTATACGTTACGTAAAACAGAATAAAATCCAAATTATGTTAAATCAAACATTAATCCCACAAAAGGATTCAGCAAAATACCTTGGAATGCACCTAGTCTCCTGTTTAAACTGGAAACACCATGTCCGCCAGAAAAAAATACAGGTTAAAGAAAAAATACGAAAGCTCTATTGGTTAGTTGAACCCCACTCCGAGTTAACTATGGAAAACAAACGTATACTATATGTAACTATCACAAAACCAATTTGGACCTATGGCATTCAACTGTGAGGTTGTGTCAGTAAGTCTAACATTGATATTATACAACGCTGTCAAAACGTCACTGCAACCTACCGGTTTGAAAGAAACGATGCCATTCACCATAATATGATGCTGCCTACAATAGCTGATGAAATCCAAAAGTTTGCTCACAAACACGAAACAAGATTAGATTACCATGTCAATCCACTGGCCATCGAATTATTAGACAACTCCAAAGATATTAGACACCTTAAGTGTCTGAAACCGTACGATTTAGTTTAAGAATTTAAATTAAGAGTACGAGTGATTTCATTGGAAGTGTGACTTTATCAACGTATAAAGTATATATTAACATATAGTACGTAAGATATATCTTGTTAAACATATTTATAAAGACCATCAAGTCGGTTAAATAATAAAGCCTCTGGGCATTTGAAAAAAAATATTTAACCTACGGTCACCATCATTTATCAAACCATTTTTTTGCAAATCGTTGTCTAGTTTGTAATCTATTAAATAGTATGTTCCATTTTGTATATAATAAATACTTATACTTATTTTGTAAATACTTATGTATTTTGCATATTTCACTATATTAATGTAGTAATTTCTAAGATTTTGTATTGATGAAAATAATTTAGCTAATCTATCACGTAATAATTATTAAGAATAGTCAGACTCAGAATTTAGCATTTAGGGAAATCATTTTTCGATTTTCTCAGGAATTTTCTCATAAAAGAAAAAACAGGAAAATGTACGAAATATTACTATTTCACTTTCCTGTGCACAACTTTTCTAACAGCACTTTTGCTTCAACTTTTAATGATAGCAATGTTTCTAAAAAGAAATTTCACTAACGAGGTACTTTAGAGAGGTAATTTTTCGACTTTTTAAGAGTTTTCCCAACATATGAAAAAACAGGAAAAACGTAGGAAAAAAATTGAAAATCGATACAACATTAAACAAATATTATTAAAGAAAATATATAATGCCTATTTAATTATTTTATATTAATATGACATATATATTGTTGAAAAAGCATCACTATCAACTTAACTCCGTTTAGAATCGTGTTTTCGTAAGCAATGGTTTATTGTTGATTACTGCTTACAAATTATCTAGAATAGTGGCTGCACTCGTCCCCATTATCCTAGGAAGTCTTTTTTAATTTTCTTAACTGTTAATATTCCTGAATCTAGACCAAGATAGAAGGTATTCAAGCTGGAAATTTTGCCCCAAAATTAATTTCGTTATGCCCTTCTAGCAGGGCGTCATTCTGCCCACCAACCCCTAACAATTGTGACACTGTCTACTTTGTTACATTACCATAGTTTTTTTTATCATATTTATTGATAGGGATAAAACCACTACCCAATTTTGATTTTCAAACAGCAACCTATACAAAAAAAAATCCATACATTTAGTTGAAGTATGATGAGTAGCGAGAGTATTTTACCTATTATGCTTTCAACCGGTTGAGTAGACCAGTGGTAGATCTCACGGCGATTCCCAGCTCATAGAGAACAATTCCCACTCCTATGTAATTTTCCTTCGGAAAGTTCATTTTGCGCTAAGTTTATTTTTCACATATTTAGATCATACCTAAATCAGGTGAGGTTTTCAACAATGTGACGATACGCTCTGCTTTATTATTATTAACTTTTGGTTCTCTTATTGTACCTACTAATATATTTTCTGTTTAATGAGCTCTTTATAATTTCTCATGGTTTTCTATTTGAGTGCGTGTAAATTTTAAGTCCACGGTTTTCAGCTTCCAGGCTTTTTTCCATATTTACGTATGACATACTATTTACAGTTTAATATAAAGGTCAACATTGCTGAAAAACACAACTAAAAGAGTAATTCATCACTCCCCCTCCCCCATAGATTTTCGGAGATAGACGCCCTCGAGGCAACGAAATGATGTTCAACAATACTACTGTATTACCGAGTAATATAATACAATAAAAATGACGTGTGTGTACCTATACAGAGTGATCAACACGTATTGCCTTAAGACAATATATAAAATTTTAGATAAAATCAAATTTTTTTTAAAATAGTTTTCAATAACACCGAATAGAGTAAAAGTATATATTGCTGTACTAAACACTGAACAGATCGGAGTACGAGTAGGTAGGTACCACTAAAAAATGATGGTCACGAATTAGTAGCGGTATCAGGAATTATGTACATTTATGAATTTGGGTTTTCGGGTTCTGGGGAGAATAAATTATTATATTAATATATTATACACAGTGTACGATGAACACGTATTTGAAGGCATGCAAAGAAATGTCTTTAACTGTAATACACACACATCATAGTAAAACCAATAAATCCCTCGCTACGCTCCGTTTCTAATACTTACGAAATACTAATGCAAATTAATGTTAGACTACGTTTTAGTTTAGTTAGGTACGCCACTAATACAATACTATATATAAATACTTATCTTTTAACCTTGAACGTTCGTTTATTTAAGAATTTCCTTAGTTTCCGTGATTTTTATATTTTATGATTTTTCACTGGCGTAATTCATGTTGTAGCTCTAATGTAAGTATGCATGTAAACTAAATTATGTATGCATATATTATAAACGTAGTATATATTACATCTAATATATTATACCATAGAGTAAAAATATACTAATTAATTAACACCACGATGTTGATGAAATCTTGATTATTGTACGATTGAAATTTGCTCCGATTATGTTTGACCAATCACAATCGAGTTTTATTTATAGATAATTCGATCAAATAATTGATCGGATGAACCATTTTTCAAACAAATTTTCAAAGTTTGCCGTTTGCCAAAAATTTGATCGGGCTTTACATTCCGGTCCAACGATCTCGGGTTCAAACCCCGAACGCGATGATTATTTTTCTGCATCATTTTACAAAACTTACTTTTTTTACGCACTTTTCGTATATTATAACCTACCTACGTATTCCAAAAATAGATATTTCCGAGTTCACTGATCTGTTTTATTCGCTTTCTACCGTAAAGAGTGACCGCTTCACAGTTGACTATTATTAGTCTTTATTATTGGCATTCCCTTAGAGAGACATATCAAATAAAAAAAAAAAAAATTAAACATTATTCAATCTAGTTGTGACGGACCAGTAAGTACACCATGTACGGATAATTAGTCATTAAATATATGCAAGAATTTATATAATATAAATAAAAAAAAAAACATATAATATAAAAAATATATTATCATATACCAACCAGTCAATACGGGGTCATTATTCAGTCTTTATCTTTGCAACAGCGATAAATAAATGATGCAGAATTTTCACTATAGAAATTGGTCACAAAAAATTTGTCAAATAAAAGCTCTTCTATTTATACAGGCGGATAGTGTGTGGTAAAGCGTTCCAAACTCTGACTGAGTCAATTCTATAAAAAAATGAGCTCAACTCAATTAGGGAATCAAGATAGGCGTGGGCGACGGAACAAATAATGGTGTCTGAGGATGGCATAATACTTTAAATTCACTCCTGCAAGCTGCACATTCTTCTATTTGGAAAGTAAAATAAAGCATTTAAACGAGATGGAAATCTGAATAGGCTGAAGGTAAGTTTTATTCAGGGGAATAAAAATGCTTCTCAGAAGAAACGGTATCAACTCTAATGTTACCTAAGTCCTAAATTCCAAGACTCTCAACTACCTATGTGAGATGGTTCATCATTTTCAATTTAAAATTCTAATGAAAAAAAAAAAATAAAAAGTAAATGAAAATTATAGATTATATTTGATTGTATTTAAAATAAGACAGGAGCCATAATATAGAACAATGTTTAAACAAAAACTATTAATAACTAAAAAAAAAAATGTTTAATAATGTCCACAAATAATGTTTGTTTTTTTTTTTTGTTTGCAGGATTTTGTCCTAGATTCATATTGCATAGGTATGTAGGACAGTACATTATCATTAAATTAATTTTGCTTAATATGTAAGTAGTTTTTCCAAAAACCAGGAATCAAAGAATGAAAGGAAACACAATAATTTATAAGTGAATTTGTTAAAAAAATAAAACCCAGTGAAATCAACTTGTATACATTTAAATTTTATTGATTTTGTTTTCCTTGTACAAATATAGTAAAACTGTCTACCAAAAATCAAAATTCCATACAAAAATTTCACTTAAACATACAATAGAATAAAATATGTAAACAAAATTCATGATTTCACTACAATAATAATTATGTATACCTACAAGGCTACAACTAACAATAGACACCAATTCAGAGTGCAATTCTGGTTAACTAGAACACAGTTGAATCCAGGTTATAAAGTAAAATGATGTTGGGTTAAGTATAAATGTTCATAATATTATAACAAAGTCTTATATTTGTTTTATTCTAAAAACCATAGGGTCAAGTGAGTAAAATATATCAATGCGGTTTCTTTAACCCGTTTAAAAATACGTAAATCCGATTATTGATAACCTAACCTTTAAGTATTGTTTTAATGGTTTTGTATCATATCACTTAAAAATATTTAATTAATCTGTTACAATTTATTTTGTTAAAATTGTATCCAATTAACTGTATTAAAGTGGTCCTTAGAATGAAAAATTACTTTTCTGTATTCCTGTAGATTGTTCACCTGTATTCAGTTACACACAGCCAATAGTCTGACTAGCTTGGAAGGGAAATGTGTTGAATTTAGAAAAAGTATTCAGGACTAGAGGAATTAGGTTTTTTAACATTTACAATGGAAAACTTAATTACAATTAAAGTAATATTAATTAGAAGAGATAAATTAAACAGCTGAGATTTGTCATTAAATGCAAAAAACACAATGTACTAAATAATTGTTAAAAATAATAACAATAATAATTTTTAGGTAAAACAGGTAGTATTTTACCCCCCCGCTTATGAATTCGAAAGTAATACAGATGAACTAACACGATATGTGATATCCGGTCTATTTAATATTTTTTTCTTTTCATTTAATTACAACTATAAAGAAGAATATATTTTTTATAGTATACAGTAAGTCATACTCAGATTTAAAAACCCATAACATCAATTTTGTTTAAAACAATATTATCATTGCTATTACACAATTATTACTTTTTCTACATTAATAGTTTTCAATGAACATAAATACGCTTTACAAATTCACTTTAGCTAATGATGAAATCTTAATTAAATTTATAAAAATGTACAAAAAAAAAAAGCCTAGTCTACACGGAATACATTTATTTGTTAAAAAAAAACACAATTTTTCACAACAATTATTTTTTTTTTAGAACATTACACTAAATAAATACAATTAAAAAAGTCAATAGGAACAACTCAAAAAAACAAATACAATATGTTAGTGTTTTAGGGCAATTTTGTTTGTTATCGTAAAATATAATTAAACTTTTGTGTTCAAATAAAAGTCTAACAACACATAGATAACTGGTAATGGTATGCATCATTACATATTTATAGAATTACAGTTATTTTTAAGTACAAAAGATAATTATTAGTTTTACAAAAAAAAAAAAAAAAAAAACATTGTACGAATAATACTAATTATTACATGTTCAGTTAATTAAACACTCGTGTCTCTCAAATTATGGATATTGTTGGAATGTTTGACAAAAAAAAAAACATGGGATGTTTATGCATTCTAATATTTGTGAAACAATTATTAAATCAATATCAATTTATCATAAACAGCATTAAATGTATAAGTATTTTTTTTTCCGTATAAAAATATACTATAAGACACATACATTTTGGACCAAAATTGATTGGAATTTGTCATAGAAAAACAAATCGCAAAATAATTTTTTTTAAAACAAATATAATTCCAAGTAAATAAATAATCACCTATATAATATTATATAAATATAATTTGCATTAGGTATTTCAAATTTAAATGTAAAAATTAACAAAAATCAGGAACTAATCGACAATAAATGTTTAAAAGTTTGCAAATATACGAGTATTATTGAACGGATATCTTCAAAATCATTATGTTCAGTCATTCTTCTAAAATATATTATAATTAATTTTTTATGCTCCACACATTCTAATTTTATTTATACATATATATATTTCTTTTAATAAAACAATTTACAGATATTACAATATCATATGTATCCATTATATTATAATACAAATACAAGAACATTGCACGTCTAATTTATATAGATATTATAATGTTTAACATATTATACCAAAGTTATATTGAATGTTACTAAAAAATTTTATACGCTTTTTGTTAGAATTTAAATGTTGTTGAAAAAAATTAATAATAATAATAATAATAAAATATATATAGTAAGTTTTAATTTGTAATTCATGAACAACAACAATAAGTAAAATATTATGGTTACACGAATAAAATATCAAATAGGAAAATAAGTAAAAATATCACAACCTGACCATGTGTAATTATTATATTTGTCAACTCTAAATTCTTTTTTTGTTTTTTTATTGTAATTATTCAAAAACGTTTTACTTTTATGTCTTCTACTTGCCAATATGTATGTGTTTGTCATTTTTACTTTGGGTATTATTGCCTTAATAGACCAATTAAACATAATGGGAAAGTAGTAATAATATTTATCAACTGTTCAGTTTGACGTAATGAATATTACATATTTTAGAATACACATTTTTAAACAATTAAAAATCTATTCTTAGTGTTATAGATGCTCGAGAGGTACTTAAAAGCGATTATTTTTTTTTGTTTCAACTTACAACAATTTTAACAAATAATTTAGGACGTTTAATTTTTTAGGACAAAACATATAGTTCTCTAGGACTAAGGAATTAATATATATATATATATTTTTTTTAATCCTAAAATTCAAATTCAATTTTTTCACAAAAAAAAAAAAATGGAACTAATTAAATAAATGAAAAATAAATAAAGTACTTATAGCTTTGGTCTAGTTGTTGGGAGACTAGGAGTTGTTTAAAAATATTCACTTCAACTCAAAAATGGTTTCGAGTTAATAACATCTATGCAAATTTACTTTGTTTAATTTTACCTTTGGAACATACAGTAGCAGTAGATCATAGGTTTTTTTAAAAAAATGTTTCAGTCGTTTTAACATGCCGTGTTCTGTGTCTTGGACATGTCCTGATCGCCGCTAGTTGTAGACGATTGTTTATTACTCGTTGCAGACCCCTCTACGTAAAAATAAAAAACACATAAATTACAGTTATCATTCTATAAACCTAACCTATAATCTATAAATATGGACCTGGGTATAACAGAATTTTTTTTAAATTAAAAATTGCACATGATAATATTGTCAATAACACAATAAACTTGCAGGGGCATTAGATTAACTATATATTTTCGAAATACGATTTTCAACCTTATGAGGTTGCAAATTTTACGAGTGTCAATGTTTACCAGACACTGTCTGACAATCACATAGGACATTGTCAAAAAGGTATTTGGAACTATTATTGACGCTATTTGAAAAAATCATCAATGCAAATGCTAAAATTAGGTCATTGAGGATAACGTACATAATATTATTGTAGATATTGTTAATATTTGATACATTGCCTAGATTATTATCGGATTCTTAACATGACTTTTCAGTGACCCTGACCTTCACCTTTTTGGTCACACAAAAATTATTCCCACTCTCATTACCCACCTCTATTAGTTTCCATAAAAATTTCATAATTCTGTTATGTATACATTTTGTATTTTCCAAGATGCACTCTTGGCCTGAGCTAGTCTTACCCGACCCACAGCTACAGCTTTGATTATCATCATAATATTAAAAAAAACAATTGAAAATGTTTACAATTATTTACCATTTGTTGTGAGCGCTTGTAACCGCGCAGGCAAGTCAGCAGTTGACGTCAGTTTGTGTTCGCCCAGTATATCTGGCATCGCGTTCCGTCTGCCAGTTCGCCCGGTGGTTAAAAAATCCGGACTTATATCTACATATTGTACTTGGGACGCGTCTTTATCTTGATTACTTGTCATCTCTGCAGCTACCATCCTCAATGCTATACACAAATTTAAAATGCTTTAGTAAACAGAATTTTAAAAAAAAATGTTCATAAAATTTGTAGGCGTTTATATACCTATAAAACATTTTCAAACGGGTTAGAAATAATAGGTTATTCTATAAACATTTTCATGCTTTCAGAAAAAAAAAAAAAAAAATGTTAGTGTTAGGTAAACAAACAAAATCGTTTGACCGTTAACGTCCCGTTTGGAACGTTTGGGACTTATACTATAGTAGATACAATAAACAACACAACAAGTAACGATATTCACATGACGGGTAGGTATCGAGTGTGTATCTACATAATCAAGCAAGTATTAACATTAACAGAAAACTCCAGAGTCGGGTACCTCGACCGAGCATTGAAACTCTAGCGCGTTACTCACTGTGTCCACAGTTCAACGGCGTAGCACCCGGAGTAGTTTAGTGCCTGTTGGCCACTGGAATTCTATGCGTACGGGCATACATCGGACAAAATGTAGTGCGTTAGTGTTACGGGCGTACGGTACACGTCGGAGTACGTATGCCGCGTACAATCCTATTTGTAAAATACGCCGAAATCATGCCTAAGTAGCACGCACACACACACACACAAATAAAGTTAGAGACAACCGGGAATAACAATCACAGAGACAAACACACACGGACGTGCGCCGGGCGCACGAGAGAAGCGAAAAAGGACAAGCGGAGGGTGAGAGAGAGGGACTGATTGATTGATAGTGTTCACCTGTTTTATTAAATACGGTTTTGCGGTTTTTACGGAGCGTTATCGATTTGTCGCATAAGCCCTTGTTGGCCGACTCGGACGTCATAATAATACCGTTATTGTCAATCCGGACGACACGCAACACAACGGACGGACGGACGGTCGTGATGAGAGCGCTCTGTCGACGCCAATGTGGACGCGGGTGGCGAAACGTCGTCGTCATTTGCACATCGTACCTATGGGCCGCCGCCGCCGCCGCCGCCGCCGGTCGTTGGAAAGACGACCGTTTATCTCGGTGCGCAACACCGAACGTAGGCGCGTCGGTTGTACGTACGTGAGCAAGTACTTACGCGCGCGATATTACGTGCGCGGGTGCGTGTGCGTGTATATTACGTGCGCGTGTGCGCGGCGTCTGTTGTTTGAAAGCGTCGAGGTCAAAAGGCTACGGTCGACGACGCGGGCCAGACGAGGAGATAGAAGGGAAATACGTGGTGTAATAATAACAATAATAATGATAATGATAGTAACAACGATGATTCATGCGAACGGAAAAAAAAAAAAACAATACAAGGCGAAGACGACGGCGGCGTAGACGGACTACAACAACGATCAATGGGGCCCACTACGCGACGACACTGCTCCGTGCGCGTCCGGCCGTCGGTCGTCGCCTACGTACATAATATTATTATTATTATTGTTGTTGTTGTTATTATTATTATTATTATTGCCGTACGAAATGCGGGCGCGACGCGGCTTGAGGCGGCGGCGTTGCGACACCGGCGACGGCGTTCACGATTAGGCCGCGGTCATTGTCTGGGCCGCACTTCGAACTACGTTCATACCGCGCACCGGCCGCGACGGGGCCGAACAAACGGTAACCGAAAACCGCGTACAGCCGCGCAGCGTACTCACCGCCAACATCGCCCGAGCGTCGGGTGCGCGCGTCGCTCGTCTCTCAGCGGCCACGCATCTTGGTACGCGCGCCCGCGGTTGCGACTGTCGCCTGCCGGCCGGAGTGTCCGTCCACGACGGCGGGTTCTGCGTTACGAGGCGACGACTGAACAACGACGACAACGACAACAGCGGTATTGCGGTTCGCGCCCACAGCGGGTCCGTTTCCTGGTCCCGGTGCGTTCGTTCGGACGGCGACGGCGACGACGACGATAGTGTTGCGTCAACGTGGACGTTCCGAACGACGGCGACAAAACAAAACGACTGCCGCGACGGCGGCGGAGTCTACGCCGAGATAGTGTCTCGCCGCTGTTATCAGACCGCGCGCGCGGGTATCGCGTGTATGTGTGTGTGTGCGTGCGTTTTTGTCGTTTCGCTATTATCGACGGCGCGGCGAGCCGGTCTCCGCCCACAAACGGACCGCTTAACAGTGTTATTTTAATATACCCTACTGCTCCGACTCCCCACTCCCCCCGCGCCGGCCGTCGCGCCGCAGCGGCGCGCGAGCGTCACCCGTCCGGAGTGTTTTCACGGAGGCGGCCGCCGCGCGCGCCCGCGGTGACGTCCTCTATCCGCCCCGGCGGCCGACGGTAATGCGTTAACGCGCGCCGCCCGACGGCTCTCCGGGGCCGCCGCCGCCGCCGCCGGATGGCGTCACGCGCCTTTCGTACAATCGTAATTTGTTTGTGTTTTCGTTCGCGGCGTCGCCGTCGCCGTCGTCGTCGTCGTCGTTTGGCGTATGGTAATGAACGGACGGAGACGATTAATTCTCACGTCCACCGTGCCGTTTCTGTTCACGTATCACGCAGCGCGGGGTGGGGGAGGGGGGCGAGAAAACGGCGCATCGATTTATTATTCGTTTCGTTCGTTACGTAAAACGACGGCGTTGTCGCCGCCCCCGGTGCCGCATTCGAGGGGTATTCCAGACGTTTTTTTTTTTCCCCCACGAAGGTAAATAATTTAACAATTGGAACAAATAAATGAAATTAATAGAAAAATCAATAATAATTTCGGTTTTCGTCGGCTTTTCAACTGGAAACGTTGCTCCAAATACCTTCGGCGTGCCGTTTATATCAAAAAATTACCTTCCCAGTTAGATTTCCTTCCAGAAAAAGTGCTTAGATTGTAAAAATGGGAGCATAATTACTTGTAGACAAGTTGTTCACGGGAATAAAGAAGACCGTAATATTTGTCTACTAATAGGTACCCATATTTCGTACATTTTCCCGTTTTTTTTCGGTTTTTCGCATTTGATGGCAGAATTCTTGAGAAAAATTACCTCCCTAAAGTGCCTCCCCACACCAATATCCTTTCAAAAAGGTGCTACGCTTAAAAATCGGAGCAAGATCTCTGGTAGCGATATCGTCCACAGAAAAAAAAATAAATATCCTAGTAAATCCATAAGCTTCTTCGCTCCGCTCACAATCTAAAACATCAAGCTCCAAACCATTATGCGTGCGTATTAATAACTGCGAGTTAACTGTTGAAGAGTTAAGTGGGAAATAATATTAGAACACGGCCAAGGTTATAGGCTAAGGATATATTTTCATTATGTCATAATTTATGTAATAATTTTTAAGTTGTATTGTACTTACTTAAATATTAAACATCTATTACCCGTTATAGTAAAGTGGCAGATATAACCATTCCGGTTATTAGAGTTTTTGGCGAACGAATTGTTTTAAAACAAAAACATTACGAGAACGGGTAAGAAAATGGATACAAAGGAGACGTGCGTTGAGAATTTCCAACACCATTTATAAATGAACTCGGTGTTGGGAAGACTCGAAAAGTTGTTGTAATTTTTTAAGAACGGAGTTTAAATTGACAAAAAATAAACAAATTTAAATGTATCAGTCATAAAATAATTCGTGATAATATATTATAATTAAGCCGTTTACACAAGGAGCAATTCATTAGAACCTATTCTATATATAATTAGGTACTAATGCACACTACTGACCAGTCCACGTCAAGTCACTAAACATGTGTTATTCAATGGTACACAACAGACGACGCTAATGGTTACTAATTACCGATTAGTCACTATAACGCATTAGTGATCAGTTCCAAGTGATTCAACTGTTGAGTCACTTCCAAAGTGCGTCACGTCGAATTGTATACATTTTTAAAAATCTTCTTTTTCTTTAATTCTATTAAAGAATGAACGAACAAAAGTTTAACGTAAAGTTGGTAGAAGAAGTGGAAAGACCACTCATTTTGTACAACTTTCACGCCATTCTAGGGAGGACGAGACGGAAATGGCATAGAACGAAGTCGGAAAAACAATAATTATGACAACAAGGTAATTCGTCACTTGAAAATAAATTATTCAATCGTCATTTCTGGAATGGATGACATGTCGTTAAAAAGTGTTGATGCAGGCCCTATACTTTATATACTTTCGATCGCTTTGGGTACAGTGACTCGTGAGCGGATCTCAGTGACCAATGCGTCAGTAATAGTTAGCAATTTAAATCATAGACCAGTTTAGGTTGCTAATGAATAACTCCGTGTGTAGAGTGTGTAGAGGGCTTACAGTTAACGCTGAATGATAACAAATATAATACAACAGTATATGGTAGTTACTAACTGTTTTATTAGTATACCGGGTGATTATTTTATCGTTAAACACTCATTTCCTCGGAAAGTATTAACTTTTTTCGAAATTTGTTTTCTAGAACATCTAAGAAACAAGCAGCTCTGCATTTTTACAATTAAAATTATTTTTTGTAACTCTAAAGTTTTGGGTGTGAAACGACTACCTACTTTTGATTTTCAAATAGCAACCTATATTCGAAATTCGGTAAATAGATGGAGTATTAGTTTCAATAAATTTTGGGGTTGAAATTTTCGATTCCCGTCAATCCATTTATGAGATATTTCACTTTCAAGTTTTGGTCGGGGGAGAGAAGTGGAGCACATTTGTGTAGCGGCACGGAGCGCAGTGTTTAAATAATGCACCACTACTCTCCCCCGACTAAAACTTAAAAGTGAAATATCTTATAAATGGATTGACGGAAATCAAAAATGTCAACACATTGTGCATTACGACACTTTGTGCAATACAAAGAATTAAAATGGTACACCTTCCACCTATTTATTTTTTATAGACGAGCCCCATAAAAAACATTATTATCTCGACACTCGTTATCTGGGAAAGTATTTATTATGTACATGCATTTTTTATTACTATTATTATTATTATTATTATTATTTTTTTTTTTTAAACAACTTATAAAACAAATGTTTAAAAGCTAACATTTTAACATTTTAGAGCTAACTTATAAAACAAATAGCTCTTAAATGTTACATCACTGTTGTTTTTTGTTATTCTTTTTTTCGGCGGTGAAACTTTTAATTTTGATTTTTAAACAACACCTATATTAAAAATTCCATAAATAATTATAGATATTTTTAATTTCTATCAACGCATTGTATCTACTGTATGTACAAAGTGACTTCAAGTACACCACTTATCACAACTGCCGATATAGAAAGAAGTTTATCAGAAGTTTCTCCAGATAAAAAATGTATTAAACAATAACAGACGGTCAGTCGACTTCGAAAACTTAAAAAAAAACATTCGTCGTCCAATTCAATAACTTAAGCAATGTTTGTATTTAATTTTGCTTGTATTATAATATTTTATTATATTGATTAATGATAATGCTGACATAATTTTAAAATTATAAGTGCAATTTTTAATATAATATTTTTAATACAATAATACAATCAATTTAGTGAGTTTTTTAATGCAACGATTTTACTGCCCTAGTGATTAGTATTATTGTGTTGTTTATTAGCCAATGACGAACATAATTAAACACTAGCAATCATTTTGTTATTTTTTTTATTATTAACTGTGTATTTACACCGTTTAACCGATTGAATATCGTACAACAGTACATGCTTGTCCATTTTTAATTTCTCTGAATAATTATTATAATAGATTATCTGTAGATTTAATCGAATTATCATGTTACAGATACGCATCTACGTCATGAGCCATCTGGCCACCCAACTAATCGAAACAAATTCACGGCCTCTCGAAAATCTCCGGGCCATACCGCTGTAGCAATCAGGTCAAGGTACGATCACTACTTTGTACATAGGTGTATGTACAGTACATTGATTGTGGTCTTTTTATAGTCAAAACATATTAACGGTTAGGTTAACGATTATTAAGGATTACGTGTTTAGAAATTAAGGTTTGTCTACTTTCACGGGGCCGTATTCAGTATATACGGTCATACAAACGCGGGTCTCCGCAATTTTTAGACTTAGTTTCAACTGGATTTACAGACAGACCGTTGGTATCACTTCTTACATTTGTGTGAACCCCGGGCAGCTAAGTCTCAGTTAATAAATAACTTGTTTTGTAAATTATTCAAAAGCGTTTATTGACTTCAAACCTTTCTTGTACCAGTTTTGAGTCGTGCTACATACACCAAACTAAAATACGCGCGCGCGCGTGTGTGTGTGCACTACGGAAAGTCCGATTCCAACCAAAATGCTTATAATTTGAATGGAGAGCTACGTCACACGGTACACACGGAACACCAGCTATTCTGCTGTTCTGCTGAAGAGACAAATAAAAAGCTGCTGATCCTTATTTTCATTCAACTCCAGACGCTTTTAAAAACAGTTTTTATCACACTGACGGTAAGCAGGTCCATATTCAAATGTATCACCTACTATATACATATAAAGTAATATTAGTCGTTCGGTGGGTGTCGCTGACTCACTGCGGACTATCACCGGCGCACAAAAACGGTAATAATTAGAGACGGTTTTTATTCCTACAATTTACGACGTACGCACTAGTAAATAATGGCAAGTATGTATGGACATTGTACTGACGTCACGACTTTAATAAAGCAACACGTGCGCGTGTACACATTTTCTTCGAAACAATTTACGGACGTAAAATCATCACGGAATAAAAATATATATTAATCCGAGCAAAGTTCAATTAAACGTCTTTTGATAAATGTATATCGAAAATTGTACTGATTTGCTATCCATTAAAACATAATGTGTTGTTGTGGCTTGAGTTTTTCACAATTCGTATAGTGCAATTGTATATTAAACTCGAAACTCCGCGTGCCGATGAAAATAAATTACAAAACGTCTCATTCGCATAAGAATCTTAGTATGAATACCACTTTAGTATGCTGACCCGTAGCTACGGAAGTGGAGGGATTGTCCCCCTTTGAATTAATTATCGCCCCTCCCCCCCAACAAGTACCGTAAAATGAGGCAAATTGCAATGATTTTAGAGTTTTACCCAACTTTGAACTTAATTTAAAAATCAGATATTTATACTACCGTTAAGGAAAACACTTTTTTCGAATTTTTGTTGCCTTGTTTATCATTATAAGTATAATTCAGACATAGAACTTGGAAACATTTTTTTTTATTATATTTTTTCATATGACTATGTTGCAATATACCTTTGATTGGGGAGAATTAAAACGGTGGCTTAAAAATCATATTTTATGCACTTAAAACAATGCATAGAGGAATTGAATCACTAAATAAATTTTAAAAAAAAAATAATCAATTTTTCGAATTCATTGGTATAATTTTCAATTTTTTCTCAAATTAAATGTGTATATATAATGGCATTTTATGGTTTAGTACCTAATGTTTCTAATGTCCCCCTGAAATTTGGTTTACCCCACCTGAAAATTTGCCCTGGAAATGGGCCGACTAGTATTACAAAAGGTGATATTAGGCGTAGGTATGGTATCTAACTATACTCCTTGAAACAATTGGCACGTCTGTTATAAGTTCGTGACAATACTGAATAAGGACGATTACAGGACATTCACAAAGCATAAATGAATTATGAAAAGGGCGGATGACGCCATCGTCCGCCGCAGTGATCGGCCTGATAAGCGATCTATACCACTAACGTGAAAACGAAAATACTCTTCGAGATGGCGACGGCGATAGTAATTTCTTTTTTTCGTACAATCCTTTTTCATCAGTAAAATCTATTTCGGGCTCAACCCTGGCTCCCACGGATTCGCGGCTGCGAAATTTGCGGTTTCAATACTCGCACGCGTCACTTTCCACATTTAAAACTACCTCTTACCTACCTTTGTACGGCACTAATTTTGGGAAAATTAAAATTTTTAGATTTTTTCCCTTTACTTATGTTGCAAGATCTACATTTGTGCTAAATTAAACGTTTCTACATATAATCGGGTACCCGGTAAGTGCCTTATAATTTGCAGTGTGATAAGTGAATGGAAGAAACACAAATACAAACATTGAAATACCTCAATTTTGTACAATGTCCTAAGCTACTTTAACTTAATCTATGTTTCAAGTAAAACCATAACTTAAGAGGAAACAGTCTAATGGCGAGATGAATCGTTTAACGTCATATTTTTTTTTTTCACGGTTAACGTTATTAAATACACGATTTACGTATTTTCGTTTTGTTTAATATTTTCGGCATTCTTACAATATGTGATCTACATGAGGTGACCATATATTTTTTTGGTGAAAAAGGAACAAAAAAAAAATGTATCATCAGTTTTATTGTAAAAAAAGTTTTTTTTTTTTTTTTTTTTAATAATCATTAACAAAGTTATACGCCTATTAAAATTATTGTTTATTAATAAGTAACTCATTTTTATAATAGACTTTTTTTTTTCTATTTAATAATTATAAAGAAAATTGTATACTAGTATATTTTTTGTTGGAACATATATTCTTCAATAAGTCCAATAACCGGCGACGACGTTCAAGAAGTTAAAACTACAAACTCGACCTTACACACGCCGCGTACACAATTGATTCTCGTTATTTATTCGTTTACTTTTTGAAAACGGTACATTCTTGCGTCCCGAAGATTCCCCAGGGGACAACGGGACAGAGGTAAAAAAATTGGGACTGTCCCGTTCAAAACGGACGGTACCACCTACAGCAACATTTTTGTTACAGTGTGTGATTACCACAGCCAATGACGTAACTAGATAAAAAATGTAGAGAGGGGTAAGACAATTTATTCACCACAATCAAAACCCTGAGCCCCTCCCCGGCTTAAATATATTTTAGATTCTAAGCGGAGTGAGGAATGTATTGGTTTTACAATGATATTTATTTGTGTTTTTTTATGAGAACACTTTTTCTACTAAAAAGCTTACTATAATTATCAAGTATAGCATCTTTTCTAAAAGAAAATGTTCTCTGGGTGGTAGGTACTTTAGAGAGGTCATTTTTTGAAATTTTTTCTATTAATATTCGAGATATCTAATGAGGAAAACCTGGTTCTTTTTAAACAGTCATTGTTTTTTATAGAAATGCATATTGTTGAAAAAGCAATATTACCTATAGACCGAGCTATATTAAATAAAAAAAAATTTCGATTTCAATACATTTTTTTAACCATTTATCTTCATATTACCTATATGTCTTTATTTTATACTTAAGTTAAGTATCACTATCAATTGAACTCCATTCAGAATCGTTTTTCGTTAACAGTGGTTTATCGTTTCTTACAGATATACATTAAATTTCCTAACCTAACCTAACCTTCTCAACTTCTCACCTACAACAGTGGTTGCATCCACGCGCTAAGTGTGTTCATCTTTTTATTATACCTATGTATTTTATACGGTATAGGTACCTACTTACCTACCTACCTAATTGTTTGTTTTTACACAAATCTTAAAACTCATTTTATGGTTTAAAAACAATTTTGTAAGTAGCGGACACTATAGATATACCAACCCATATTATTGTTAAATAATATTAAGTACCTACATAAGCGTTCATCAATAAAAACGTGCGATAAGTCGTTTAAAAAAGACGTCCTAGGATAATGGGAACGAGTGCAACCACTGTTTTAGGCACTTAGGTAATTTTATGAATATCTGTAAGCAACGATAAACCATTGCTAACGAAAAAACGATTCTTAACGGACCTCAGTTGAAAGTGATGCTTTGTCAACAAAATATATCATATTATGGTAAAATAATTAAATAGACATAATATATTTTCTTTCGTAATATTTGTTTAATGTACCAATTTTCCGTTTTTTTCAATTTTTCGCATTTGTTGAAAAAACTGCGAAAATCAAATAATGACTTCCCTAAAGTACCTTCTCAGTCATATTTCCTTTCTAACAAGTTTTCTTGAAAAATTGTCCACAAAAAAAAATGAAAAATATTGTAAACCCATAAGCTCCTTCGCTCCATTTAGAATCTAAAATTAACTAGTATAGGTATAATTTTTTCACATATTTTATATTTGGTGAATATATTGCATTCTTTCTTAACTTAAAAAGATTCAAAAATTTGTACTGTTGAATTATCCGAGGGGGATAGTTATGATACTTTTGCCCCCCTCACAATAACGCCACTGGTTAGCATCATTTTAGTGTGTAATTTATAATATTTAATTTCAATAAAAATAATATGTATACCTAATGTTTACTTTCATACCTACTTTAAGGTTTATATGCTTGGTATTTCGAATGTTAAAAATATAAATTGTACTGTATGGGAATGAGTAACAGATTTTCAACATTTTTGTGAGGGCACCTGGCATTTTATTGAAATTATATCTGGTAGGAATAGGAATATAGATTATTAATACTAATAATATTAATAATTTACACAATCATTTCAGCTGTGTTGATCATGTTAAACTAGTTGTGCGATTTATTTGAATACCTATGTTAGTGACTGAATTTTATTCAATTATCTATAATGAAAGAACAACCGTATAATATATGAAATGTACCTATATTTTATGTAGGTCACACATTGTAAAAATTCCAAATTTTCACTTTTTGTTTAAATTGAAATTTATGTACAGAATTTTTAAAATATACTTCAATTTCAATAAACTGACGGTTTGTGCACATTAATAATGAACAACTTCTTCACCTTCATCCCAACTATTTTCTTCTCTGCTACACTCATTGTCGAGCAAATTCGCATAGTTCTGAAATAATTTGTTGTCAAGAATCAGGACGACTGAACAGTTAATTCATTATTGTTAGTCTTTGGATATGTGGACATGGATAATTTATAGCATTTAAAATAAAAATATCAATAGATTTAATACATATGTTTGCATTTTAAAATAAGACATGGTAGTCATAAAAATGCAATGTTTTTTGAACATACTTAATGTGAGCTGCTTAGACAAAAATAAATAAAATAAACATAAAAACTAATATTGATTAGTTATCCTAATATTTTGCATTTGTTTTTAATTGAATGTGTAGACCAAAAATATAAAAAATTCAAGTAATGTATTAAGTTTAATGTCAACATGTGCAATAATATTAAAAAATAATATAAAGATAAACTTAACTGATCTAAAAAAAAAAAAAAAATGTTTGGTCATAAACTCATAAATTAGTAGCCTAACTATAAATACAAATAATTGATAATTATTACAAAACTTAAGTGCCCATAACAAAACTTACAATTTATTACTATAAAAATTACATACAATACAACCATTAAAAAGTTTTTGAAGATATTCTTTTTATTTTTAACATCACTTTTTTGTTATGAAATGGTTTTTACATTTAATTTTATGAATACATAATACATAGCAATCATTTCTATAAATATTTATCGAATTCATTAATTTATTGAATACTAAGTGTAGATAAAAAAATATATATAGTATATTTGTATTGTATTTGTTTATTACCAGTTACAACTATTAGTCCATTTAAATAAAATATAACAACAATTAAATCCATTAAACACTAAATTAACATTATTTAATTGATATTAATTATGAAAAAGAAAGTATTAAATTCTTATAAATACAAACTGTTCAAATATTTGTTGAACAAAATTTTAATAAAAAAATTAGTTTGCACAATACATTTTCACTTATAAAAAATTAATATAAGTAGATATACAATAATTCATGTTGTTATGTATTTTTTTCAGACTGTATGGTAATTTTAATTTGTTTGGTTGGATTTTATTATTACTTGATTCAGCATATAAAGATTAAAAATTATGTTTGATTCTAAACAAATTGTAAAATGCAAAAAATATAAAAATTATTTAAAATGTATTTAATTTCATTGAATTTATTATTTATTATCTCTATTTAAAATTTAAAATTTATCATCATCAATTTATTCGTCGTCGTCATCATCATCATCATCATCATCATTATCATTATCATCATTGTCTTCTTCTCCAGATGAAGAATCTGCTTCTTTTTCTGATGCACTTGACTTATCATCAGATATGTCCCCAGTAACTAATTCAGGTTTTCTTAATTTAAGATATAATTTTAAATCCTCTTCAGATAGAGATTTTAAAAATATTTTCAAATTATTCATATATCCTTTTTTAAGAGCTTTAAGTTCATTGTCAAATAATATTTGTTTTTTTCCAGATTTTTTTGTCCACTCTTCTAAACTTTTAATTGGATGTTTTTCATTTGGTCCCACTTTACTCTTATACAGCTCAAATGAATTTTTAAAAGGTACAGGTATTGGTTCATTTAAGAATAGCTTTGTTTTTGAATTATATTTTGAAGCTGCCTTCTTTTTAGGTTTTTCTGTGATTCCCTCTCTAGCATTAATTCTTGGTACGACTTTTGGTTCTACTTTTTTAGGTTTTGTTTTGGTTTTAGCTAACTCAATTTGTTTTTCACCTTCTGGTAATTTTTGTAGGAATGCATCATAATCAACTTTATATTGCTCAGTAATTACTTTTAACCTGTCTGTATAACTTTGTTTTTCTTCGTTAGAAAATGATTTCCATTTATTTGCTATCAATGCCATTTTTTCCTTTGGTGGAACACCAGTAAACAAATCACTTTTTAGCATTTCTATAGAGAAAAGACTGTAATTATTAACAGGAGGTTTTTTCGGTTTACCTAATTGGGAATCTAAAAGTTCTCTATCACTTTTTGTTAAAGCACTTTTCGTTGGCATGTTGAAAGCAGGATCATTTTTGTGGTCCTCCATTAAATTGGTTACATATGTCTCTTCTCGTTCTTTAGCTAACTTAATCCATTTTGATTTTTTTTTTTCTGTCATGTTATCCCATTTTTCTTTGAAATGTTTTTGAAGGTTGGCTTTATCGATCTGGACATCCATACCTGATGATTTAGATTCAATAAATATCTGAAATGGTGATTTTGGTTTAACTGCCTTGTTAGGTTGGAATCCTGAATTAGTTTTACTAACCAGCTCAATATATTCAGCCTTTAATTTTTGTGCTTTATCAGTATATAACTGTTTTTTTTCAGGTGATAATTTATTGTACTTTTCAGCAATGATTTGTGTAAGCTGTGGCAATTTTAAACTTGGGTGTTTTTTCTTACACTTTTGTAGAATGTCCATATAAAATAACATATATGCAGTTCTTGGTTTTTGTACACGATTTTGTTTGGATTGATAAGTATCAATGCCTTTAGTGGCTAATAAATTTTTAGCATCATGAACAAGATCCCCTAAAGTTTTAAATGTTTTAAGCTGATCTTGAATTGCTAACCAAGTAGATTGACATTCTTCCTTACTATAATTATCAAACTGTATCTTTTCCCAGTCAATTTTTGGTAATCGACTTCGAAATGTTGTATTGTCATTTTTGGGAAGCACCATCTCTATTTGAGACAACAACTTCTGAACATCGTTCTGAGGCCATCTATTGATAACTGGATTTTCACTTTTAACTTCATTAATTATTCCGTTATTGTGATCCGACTGGTCATCAGAATCTTCAGATGATGATGATGATGATGATGATGATAAAATTGGTGGTGGCGTTTTTTCTTTTATGCTTTTCCTCTTTTTCTCTGCTTTTGGTAGATTACCAATAGACTTTCTTTTACGATCTAAGCCCATATTTACCTGAAAATAATAATTAAGTTAATTAGTAGTTATAACAATTAATTTTATAGTCAATATTTACTATGTATTATATGTGTTTATATTAAATAAATTAACTGCAATAAAGAACTACTCACAATATTATTTGGTATAATTCTAGTTTAGTGCTCACACAAATTTTTGAAATTTTTTTTCTTCAAAATGTGTTTTTTAATGCTTAATCCAATGGTATAATCAAAACTTACAAATCATACTTACTTTAATAGTTTTTGTACATAAACCTTCAAAAATAGCATTTTTTAAATTCATTCGAAATGTGATCAAAAATAGACGTTTTTTTATTGAAGTAGGAATAAGGCTATCTGGCTTAGTTTTGAAGTTACAAACGCGAAGTGTTATGCTGTACTACGCAAGCTACTTTGCCAGGTCTCTAGGTGCATCCAAAATGTTTTTACACTTTTCCCTATTACCTACCTGATGTGGTTTTGCACAACAAATCGTGGGTTATTTTAAAATTGTCCGAGTGAGCAGTCTCAAAACACTTTACGTTTGAACATTTGTAACTATAACTAAGCCAGATCACCTTATTCTGACTTCAATAGAAAAAACATTGTAATCAAAAATAATTTGTACTTTCCAATTTTCCCAAAAATATACAAGATTTTAATAATTATTCGTTACCTACTCAATAACATAACCATGTCATTGAAACATCAAAATTTGAACTGTTTGGTATTTTATTAGGTCACTATACAATTAGTTAATCATTTTAGCATTATAGAATATTTTTAAGTTAATGTTAAGTTTTGACACAGAGAACCAAACAGCATTTGTGAATAATATAATTTTTTCAAAGTCTGTGAATACGAAACTTCTTAACCAATTGCATCTTGACGAAAAAAGAGAAAAGCAAAAGTAAAATTATGAGATGCTGGCCAAACAAAATATATGTATTTGGTGTTATTTGATAATTTGACTTTTTTATTGCAAGAATCAAACTTAAACTGGTTAATGTTGGAGTTAATATATTGGGTTCAAGGCTGGCTCTTAACGTTAATTCCAAATTCTAAGTAAAATGATTTCAAAAAAAAAGTTTCTCAATTATTAATACAAGACTCACAACATTTGAAGTATAAACCAATTTCGCATTGGTATATATTATATGCAAAACAATAACTAAAATATTTTTTAATACGTATTAAACATTTTTAAAAAAAAAAATTTGATATTATGATATGAAAATTAAATTTTTGTTGATCCCTAAGATTTCTTGGTTATTGATGAGAAAAAAAAATCTAACAAATGCACACTACTGAAAATATTGCAACTACACTAAATTGTTCTGTCACTGTAAGCACTCTATTGGCATGGCATGGTAACTGCGATGAATACAAATATGTCAATACTGTTATTGATTGTTTAAAAAAAAAATAAAACAACTACAACAGATATATAACCAAAATCCCTATGGTTTAAATTATAAATATGATACTAGTTCAGCTTTTAATGCATATTATATCATTTATTTAATTACTAAAATTAATAAGGATAACAAGTGTTTTAAAAAAATTGTCTAAAATATTAGCAAAATAATATTATACTCAAATTCAAAGTAAAAATTTAGTTACTAATCTTTTAAACGGTAAAAACCTTTAAGTAAATAATGATAATATTACAAATCATAAATGAGTTAGTGATGTCATTTATACATTACAAAAAAAAAAAAAAAAAAACAATAAGATGTAAAAGAAAAGGCTGCCAGACCACTCAAAGTATAAGGTAGGTAAGAAAAAATATCAAGTTCTTAATTGATTCTATAATTTATGTAAAATAAAATAAAAAATGTAACAGAAAAAATAGATAAATTTAAAAATAAATAAAAATTAAAGGATATGGCTGCAATATCTTAACTTAAAAAGGATTTTTTTTTTCATAATTTAATAAATATATTAAATTATAGTTATCCACAGTTTTCCATATTAAGTTATTTTAATAATACAAAGCCAATGTTTAGTGTGTATTATTCAGCATTTTTGCAACGGTGCTGTATATCTTACAATATGTGCAAGATGTTAAATAAACTAGTTGTTAGGGTTCAATTTGGTTGTCACAGGTAAGAATGAAGAAAGTCCCCTTTTTTAAGATACATAAATACCTATTTATTTATTTATTTATTTATAAGGTAAGTCATTAAAAATATAAACAAATACTATTCATTTAAATAGGTAGATACCACATTACTTTTCATTTGGATAATTATTTTACTCGTTAAATTTAATATTTTGTAACTACTTATTAGAGTTTTACATTACGGTTCTATGTAGGTATGTATTATTATTGTGTAAAAGTATTTACTATGTACAGGCAAGTACACCGGATTACTTGGTATCACTAAACCCAAAACAAAACTAGTAGAGAAACGAAACTTCTGTAGGCACTAACACTATCACTATAATAAGAAAAACGATAATGACGAAAAACTAATGACGGCAAGTCGGAAAAGGCGAACACGACAGAACATGCTATCTTTGAAAAGTGTTTTCTACCAAACACAGATTTAGTGAAACGAACAAAACACTTGTTGGACACATGTATTACATTGTTTTAACGCATTGAAAATATTGTATTAATAAAAAAAATTTTAATTAATATTACTTACGAGTGTTTAGATAGTCTCGAACAGTTCACCATAGAAACTAGAAACAAGAAGTAAGTCGACACGGTTGAAAATTCCGTTAAGAAACTGTAAATGCCAAACCACATAACCGCGTAAAATTTGGGAAGCAAAACACACATACCCGTACGAAATGTTTGATAAACCAGGTCTATTTGATATTTTGTTTACACCACATAGCCATGGAAGAAACAAATCAGTCAGAATATCACACCACGGCTAAAGATAATGGTAGCGTGACGGCCTACTACAGTGTGCTGCAGGAATAAACGGCATGAAATGCTCTTATCAAAATTTTCCCAAAACCTACTGCATATAAGCATACCATACATATATGCTAGAGACCTATGGAAAATTCGAGAGCTCTTATTGGCTGTATTGCTTTTGTGATAACGTATTAACATTATAAAATTATCAATATTCAATATTTTCAAATTATATGTTTTAGTTAGCAACGATGAACCGTTGCTTACAAAAAAACAATTCTAAGCGGAATTCAATTGATAGTGATGCTGTCAACAATATATATGTCATATTATAGTAAAATAATTTAAAGGCTGTATATATTTTCTTTAATGTTTGTTTAATGTTTTACCGATTTTCTCATATTTTTTCCTGGTTTTTCACATTTGCTTGGAAAATTCTTGATAAATTCGAAAAATTATATCATTATGAGTTAGAGCAAAGTTGATGGTAGAAAAGTTGTGCACAGAAAAAAAAACACCTTCGTAAAACCATAATCTTCTTTGCTCTATTCAGAATTTAAAAATATTATATTTATATATAAATAGATTACTTAACTATTAATTTTCGGGGGTTTGTACAAAGCAACACTATCGACCGAATTCCGCTCAAAATCGTATTTTCGATAGCAATGATCGCTAATCGTTGCGTACAGATATACATTACATTTGTTCTCTACTTTTCCAAATTCTCACCTACAATAGTGGCCCACCGTTCATGTCAAGTTTGTCCGTTTGTTTTTAAAATTCTATTGCTAACGTTCAATCTTGTACCTGCGTCGCATACCTAGCTTTTAAAATTGTTCGACTTGTATGCTTATTGCCTATTTAACTTTCGAAATTCTATTACTCTTGGTTAAAGAAAATATTTCTATACAAAAAATAATTTAATAAATATTGTTAATGTTCAATTTTAAGTTTTCATATAGTTTGGCACTTATTCATATTTCCTTCAAATTATTATTTCGTCATAATTTGATATTTTGTTATGCATAGTGTAGATAGGTACAGGAGCGTGTATAATGGGAAGGGGTAGGAGTTCAACCAACCCTTTCAAAAAATTCATGCAAATTACGATGAAAGTAGATTTTTAAATCTCATAAGCAGTTTCTGTCAATGAGGAAATACAATTTTGGTTTCATTTTTATTTCATTACTAGATAGTAGGTAGGATACATTGTTAGTAAGTATTGTCGTTTCTAATTTTTTGTAGTTTTCCTGCTTGCAAAAAATTATAACTGGATATGACGATATTTCATAGTTCACACTATCATAATAATAATATGAATTACGTTACCATTTATGTTGCATTCATTAAAAAAAATATTAAATGTAAAATTTAGTATTTGGTAGGTAAATTAAAAATTAATATTGTAAAAAAATTGACATTTTTTATGAAAAGTAAATTACTGTACAATCGAAAGTATGTAAATTTCTTTGTTATAAGAGTATTCAAATGTACAACCTTTAACTCCCCCCACTCCACTGAAATATTTTTTTGGAAACGTACCTGGGTAGGTACCAGATATATTATAATGTAGATCGGTAATATGGATAATGTAATAATATTATATTATGTAAAATGCATAATATTGTAACATCTAAACTATATAGACGTTAGATAGGCAATAAATAAGCACAAATGTACAAAGTAAAGTCAACTAAAGGCCGTTAAAAAGGAAATAGATAGTAGTGACGTGTGGTTCAATAAAATGGCCAAGAACAAGAATTTTGATAGCCTATGAAAAATAGAAGGAATTCCCAAGAACAAAATGTATTTCACATATAGATAACTAATACATATTAAACGTTTTTCTAGTGTGCAATTAGTATTTAAATATTTTGTTACAGATTGCTTTCTATCCCAAAATAAAGGGCATACAGCACGCTAATGCAAATCAAACATTAACAGTAAGGTACCTATTATTTAATTTTCTGGTCCGTTTCACAACTACTGCTAATATTTTATTATGTTCAACTTTATTATCTGCTGCTCTTACCTCTAGGATGTCTCCAAAGTTCATGTTATACCTTTGAAACCGAGGTGCTTTTTAATAACTAAGGGTCATTTATTAAATTTTATGACACTGTATAACAACATTTAATTTACTCATTAATATTTTTATTGAACATTATAATGTAAAATTTTTTATTGTATAGTAAAAATTATTTATTATAGATTCCGAATATTGTGAAAAAGATATTATATTAGCATCTGATAAATTTACACGATTATTACATTGTCAGCTAATACAAATAATGAAAAATTAATAATATTATGATTAAATGATCAAATTTATTACCATAAATTTAAGATGTATTTTTGATGTTTAATAAAACCTTTAAAATAACCTTTATCTTACATACCATAAGATAAAATCTGTCAAAATTCAAATTTGTCTTTAATTTGTCTCATATTACATCACCGTGTATAGTAATACATTAAAGTTAACGGAGATCATATTGATCAACTTTTTTAAATAAAAATGTATTTCAAATAAAGTTTATTGTTTAAAAACTGTGTTAATTAATCAGGTATGATAAATAAGCGTAAATGAATTTCACTACCGTTTATCATGCAGAGTTATCATACTGAGGGCTAAAACGAATTCAATTAATTAACTAAAATACAGTGAATCGGAGCATTCAATTTGATGCGCTAACTGATCTTGTGTACTTTTATGGTTCGTTAAAGTTAATAATTATGAAATCTGTTTGTTCAACACAGGTACAATGATTATCAATAATATTTTATGATGCTAGATATTAGGTATTTGAATTGATTATTTATAATTTACAATCAAAATTCGGTATTCTAGAGATGGGATTTTCATCTCAATACCATGAATCAGTTCACTCTAATGAGTCAACTCCCAAGTTTCCAGTTCATTAAATTTAACAATTCTCGTTATCATAAATCGCCATTAGAGTTACATAAGAACACTACAGTATCAATTATTTTCATTAATAAAATTTATTCTGCGTCCATTTGTCAATATTCCAAAAACAAATCAAATTCATACAACTGTGGTGTTTACATAATATACTACATGTTTAAAATTATGAAAGAATCAAATTCCAATAAAAAATTCAATCCAGATGGTTTCAGAGGTATGTTTGTATTGTGATAAACATTCTAGAAAACACCAGCCTCAGATAGACGATGATTGTGTTCAATGGGTGGCATGTTCATTGTGTAGTCGGTTGATGTCCTTGAACTGTATTCCTGAAAGAAAGAGAATAAATGACTATAGCAACAGTGACTATTTCTGTTTTATATGTAGTAAGTAAATGTAATGACATCTAGGGAGCGGTATATTTGATGATTTTTGTAATAATTATAAACTTATTATTCTTTCTTAATATGAATAAATTAACAATAAAAATGAAACATTTATTGAAAAACACATTTAAAATTTTCACTGGATTATATATTGAGCAAATATAAGAAATGTTCTACAAAAATAAGCTATTATCATGTTAATAATTTATTTTGCATATTAAATTCAATAAATATTAATATCTTGAAATGGGGTATGTAGGTATGCACTTGATAAACAACAAGTAATTTATAAATTGTTATTGGTCATATTTATTTTATTAATTTATTTGAAGATTAGTTTGTATCAAAGGTAATTTAAGAAAGTGCCAAACACACATATACAAGTTAAAATGAATTTTCTCAGTTAAATTAACGGATAGCATAACAAAATTATGTTATCTAGTACGTAGATTGTTTAGTTTGAAATTAGAGTTTAAATACAAATAAAACAATTTTAAGAAAACAAATTTTTGAGGGCTTTACATACATTTTTTTAAAAAAAACTATTAACTATTGGAAAAAAAAAAAATTAACATGAATATAACTTTTTATTTACATTTTTTTAAAAATAAAAAGAACGTAAAGCTCTCAAATTTATTATTTTAGTTAAATTTTGTTACTTATGTTTAAATTCTAATTTCTTAAATTTAAACTCCAAAATTTATGTTCTGAGTCATGTAATTTGCTAAGTCGATTATTTGTTACACTGAAATAGAAGATGAAAATAAAAATACATACTATATGTATCTAAGAAGGTCTCCAACAGCTACTTTTAATATTCAAACTTATATTATTGTAATTTTCAGTTTGAGGGTCTTCGTCCATTGGTTTGAGTATCTCCTTGAATTTTAGGAACAGGTTCACAAAATGCCCACTGCACTTTTGGTAACACAGCACTAATGTTTAGTACTTCTAGAACATTTCTAAACATTTCACACCTTTAACAAAAATGCATTTTATATAATATATACATTTTAGAGAAACAACTAAATAATATATTAATACATTCTGGCAATTCCTTTCTTACAATTCATATAATTTACAATAGTATAATATTATGTAAAACATCCAATTAAATAAATATAAACACAATTGTCTAGCTCAGAAAATTATTTTTGAACTAATCAATAAACAACTAAAAATATTTAAAATGTATACTAATATAATACAAAATATCTAATTATTTCTATATTATAGTCAAATATTTATGGTGTAGGGAAAGTGGTGCGCCCATCACTCAGCACACCAAAAAGTGTGTTGCAATAGCCTCACACTGACTTTAATTACTTGGGCGACGACGAAGTCAGATGAAAAAAAGTTAGAAGTATTTGAAAGAAAGATTTTGAGAAAGATATTTGGCCCAAAGAAAAACAATGAAGGAGAATATGAAATACGTAGCAATAAAAATTTAGAAGAATTATATAACGAAACCAATATTGTAGGGATCTTAAAAAGCGCACGAATAGGCTGGACTGGACATGTATGGAGATCAAAAGGACTAATCGNCCCAGAGGACGTCCTAGACAGAGATGGTCAGATAGAATAAAAGAAGACCTAAAGAGGTTGGGAGTAAGGAATGCTGAATAAACGGCACAAAATAGAGAAGACTGGAGACAATATGTTGTTGCGGTAATGGGCCTAAAAGGCCTGTAAATAGCCAGAGAAGAAGAAGTCAAATATTTACACTACCTATGCTTAAGACAAATTAGATTATATTATATGATAATATTATATACCTGAGTAGTGTACATTCGATCTTGATTTGACAGGAGGGGCTTTAAAAAAAATTTAACAAAAAACTTCCCTTTTATAACAATATTTTTTTTAATAATAAAACATGGGTATAAGTACTAATAGTTAATATAAAAAAAACAAATACAAAACTTTACTAAGCTCATTTGTATCTAGTATTATATTTATGTTTTAGTTTAGTTAAACATTTAGTTAATCATATATTAAGTTATCCTTAAGAAGCCAATATAAAAATAACAATTTGTGAATAATTTTCATCTTACTAACTTTAAAATAATGTTTTTGTAGAACTTGTACATAATTTTGTTTTAAAAATATAGAGTAATTGTATTTTTTACAATTCTTTTGGTTGTTAGTGATAGAAACAACAATCGTTGTACAGCAGCATTTTTATTCCACTTTAGAAATGGTAATTTATAATAAGGCTGTGGTTTTGATGATACTTTAAATAATTATCACAAAATAGGTAAAGTAATTTTATTATAACTTAACTTTTTATTGTACACTTTTAAAATTCCTAAACACTAATATACGCTGTTAAACAACATTGATAATTGGTAGTTATTTGTTTTTGTATTGGAAAGAGAAAAAGGTCATAATTTACAAATAATGATTAAGATATGAGACATATTAATGTATTAATAAGCATTCTAGCTACAAGTTGACCAGAGAATTGCAAATGTTGTACCAATTATGACGGCCATATCATAACAATGAGATAAGTTTTTTTTCAATAAACTCCTGTACCCATGACTAATACTTATAATTGCATTACCTTCAATAGCAGCAGCCATAAACGTAACCTCTTGTTCGGTCTTAACACAGTGATGGGTTTAACTGTATATTGTTCAACAACTACTCTATACAGTCCCAAGCTGTACCTAGGTAAAATTCATACATATACTAATTATCTGAAATTCCAAGAGTTCAATTATAGTGAGTTTAAATTGAAATTAAACTTCTAAAAATAATACCTGACATTTTCCAGGGCTCAATCGCTCCTCTACACTAATAGATTTAAGACTTTCTTAAAATAGTATTAGTTTTGAGCAATCCAATTTGTTCAATATTGTCCTAGTAGCTACATCCTATTGATAAACAATACAACCTGCAAAGTAAAAATAATTACAGTGTGAAAAAAAATAAATAAAATTACGATCATTATTTGATCCTTAAATAGTATTTTTACTAACTTGGATGTGTATAAAACCATACTAAATTATTACCACGAGACTTGTTTATAGACATAAATTGTGTGTCAAAATGTTCAAGAACTTCATAATTTATGGTTGCGTTTTCTTTTATAATGTATACAGATATTTGACCTTGATTTTCTCCACACCATAGTTCACAAGTTCTAACATAAATTGTATACATGTATTATAACTAAAATATTTAATTTGAGTATAAGCATACTTATTACTGTCTACAGCTATAAAATCAAACAAAACAGTGGAACTTCCAAGTTCACTCATAACAAAACTGCATTCTCTCATAGAGCTAGGGGTGAAATATTCTCATAAATATATATAATGAATAAATTGTTTTTTTTTTTATTTAGATAAACACAACTCCCTCAAGAAACTTTACTGTTTAACCTAAAATTGAATATGCTTTGGTTTTTAGTAACCTATCCATCTTTTTCTAAGGATGATGGTTGAAAGGGTCCAGAGAAAATTGTTAAAACTTGGTCCATAATTATTTTTCATATGGAACATATGCTGACGACACCGCAATACTTTCTTCCAGTCAAGACCCACACGAAGCAAACGGCCTACTTCAAAACCATCTGAATAGCTTATCCCACTGGTTCAATTCATGGAAAATTAAGATCAACGACTCCAAATCCTCTCATATCACTTTCTCCCTCTGCCCCGGAAACTGTCGTTACATAATATATGAAAACGCAATCATCCTTCACACAAACAAAGTTAAATATCTTGGTCTACTGTTTGACAGAAGGCTCACCTGGGGCCCCCACCTCAAAACCAAATGTAAACAATTAAATAGCCGCTTACACATCCTTAGGCCTCTCATGAAATCAACCATGCCCATCTCCAATCGTCTACTACTCTACAAATCTCTACTGCAACCTATCTGGTCATACGGAATTGCTCTATGGAGAACCGCTAAACCATCAAACACAAGAACCATTCAAGCATTCCAAGCCATCTGCCTCCGCACAATTGCTAAAGCCCCTTGGTATGTCACAAATCTTGCTCTTCACAACGACCTCCAAATCCCTACCATCAAACAGCTATAAAATATTATCTTCGACTCCACTCCAATATGGANGCTCAACTTCATACCAATGCTCTTCCGGACATCTAAGACAGACGCCTCAAACGTGAATGGCCCAGAGATCTTCTCAACGCACATATAGCATAACATGTTTAATACACAACCCCCCTAAATTAACTTTCACGTAGAAATTTCTACTCACTGTCTTTTTTCACCGCCTCCTTTTAATTATTTTCACATTTACTTATTGTACCATTATGTATAGATTGTAAATTACACCAATAAACGATTAAAAAAAAAAAAAAAAATTATTTTTCGTTGGTTATGATTTATCATTATTATCAGATATAAATTAAATAACTATTAGGTCCTGAAGGTACAGGTTGGATCATTTTAACAGCAATGTGTATAATATGATTGGGCTTTTTCCTTTACATACCGCTTTGAAAACAAACTCAAATGCTCCATGACCCAATAATTTTCCTCGAATAATATCTTTGTCGTTAATGACTAGTTCCTCCTCTAAAATCTAAAAACACCTATACAATGTGTATGTATATTTAAAAAAAATAAATTTCATTTATTTTAATAATTATAGAAAAATCATACCGTATCAGGAGCCACTTGTGGCAAGTCTCCATGCTTGGGACATACAACACAGTTTATCAACTGGAGATGCTGCTAGAATACAGTCTTCCACTATCCAACCATAATATATATCATCATCAACTCGATCTTCTGAAATTAAAGGATGACCATCAATAGATACTTTTTTACTTGAGCGTGGACTGACACCATGCCCAACCCCGATAGATGATTAACTTTCTATGTTATACATAAATATTACAATCTAATGGTTATCAGAAAGAAATAATAATATGAATAGTATAAATTATAAAATATAGTGTATTAGTATATGTATTTGGGGATGGGCACTAATGGAAATTCTGAAATTTGTTTTCATATATAATGTATAGGGACTGTGAACCCATATTTTTACAACCACATTAGATATGCATTAGAGCAATGCAACAGAACAATACAACACAATAAATAATTAAAATATAACAATTTATTATTTTGTTAATTTAAAAATGTTAGACCTGACCACCAAACCCACGTATGTACGCTACTAATATCGAATGTCTTTTCACACAATTTTTAACACAAAATTATTAATTAATACTTTAAGTTTAAACTAATAAACTTACTTTACAAATCTCTGAAGATATAAGACGGCATTTATCTCGGAGACAATTTTATAAGCAAATAATACACTTGTAAGTTCGGATCTCTTGTAAATTGAAAAACAGTAAAACACAAACGGGTACCTATCATGACAAAATATTTATTTTGTAATGTGAATTATCTACCAAACAACGATATGTGATAATTGATAAGCAATTAAACAATTGATCATTGTAATTTTTCAGTTTAGCTGTTACAAACAAAATTGAATTGATTCAGAACAGAATAAAATTATTTTTTTGTTTTCTAGAACATTTAAGAAACAAGCTGCTCAACAATTTTATATCTATTTTATTTTCGGAGGTAAAACCACTACCTACTTTTGATTTTCATATGACAACCTATATTAAAAAGTCTATAAACAGATAGGGTATTAGTTACAATATTTTAGAATTGGTATTTTTGATTTATGCTAATAAATCTAATAAATAACTAATTAGTTAAAATATTTTTGATTTATGCTAATACTAAAATATTCTAACTAATACCCTATCTGTTAATAGACTTTTTAATATAGGTTGTCATTTGAAAATCAAAAGTAGGTAGTGGTTTTACCTCCAAAAATAAAATAGATATAAAATTGTTGAGCAGCTTGTTTCTTAAATGTTCTAGAAAACAAATTCCGGAAAAAGTTAATACATTCGTAATGAGTGTACCCACTTAAATGAATCACCTGGTATGTTAGCTTCAATGTATTATACGAAAAACAGCTATCATTCCTAGTCCATTATATTATCTATGGTCTATGGTTAATACGACGATAATGCTATAATATTGTTATAATAAACAATAATTTGGTTTGTAATTAGTTTGTTTTATGTGGACGATCCGGTTACCGCCGCTTGCCCAACCGTCAATTGAGTATGTGCCTTTGTTTTGTTGAATTGCAGAATAGTCTTCTGAAGCTGCGTCCACACCTAAAGGCCCCCCCGCAAACGATAAAAATTTGTTTGTCAAACTTCTTGTTTTCATCAAACAATGGCGCAAACGATCAAACCAAATATTAAACAAATTTGTCAAAAGCTCCCGTAGTTTCGGGTTTTTTCTTGCCACGTAGTGTCCTTATATAATATTTATTTAATTTAACACATTTTTTTTTTTTAATTTAAACAATGAGTAGTTATATAGATAATGCGTTTTTGGCGTTGAGCACTATGTACGATTAAAAAGAAAAAAGGTCGGCAATGGTCTAGAGAGTGGTTGAAATTACGGATAAATATATGCACGAAAATTTGGTACGAGAAATATTGCGCACAGAACCAAATGACTACGCAAATTTCCTGCGCGTGGACCATAAAACATTTGAAGATTTATTAACATTATTAAGTCCTCACATACACTCTTTTCACGCTTGAAAGTTGTTCGTAGAATATTAATTTTTTTTTTTTTTAACATCTTCAGTGATGTTTCGGCGACACACTTTTAACAATTCCGTCATTTTTTTTAGTTACATTGATTCTCTTGTTTTTATCCATGTAGTCTTTTGATTTTATCATCAATCCCAATAACTTCCATGAAAGCTTTAACCTGATACTAAAAGACTATAGGCTTCAATTACTAAACCTCACTACCTATATCAAAAATAATAACATAAACAAATTAAATAATCTAAACTGTAACTCCATCATGGTAATCACTCCAACATACGCTAAAGACAGAAAAAAAAAAGTCTAATACAAGATCTTTCTATAATTGGTACAAACAAAATTTGTGCAGTATGAATGTTTGTAACTAACATTATTTTCTTATTTTAGAAACAATGTTGATGACCTTATTCAAAAAATCAAAAAAAAAAAAAGGAAAATTATAAATTATATTGTTAAAATATTTTTTTTATACACATATCACTGATTGTTAAATATAGTTTAAATTATATTCGATTTATTTGTATAATTTAATCTTGTATTTTTTAATATTTAGTGTATAACATCAGCTGTATCAGCAGCCGCTGCAACAAATGTAAATTATAGTAATAGTTACATTTGTTTCAGCGGCTGCTGATACAGCTGATGTTCACTAAATATTAAAAAATACAAGAAACCTACAACTCTGCGACGGTTTGTTTAGAAAAAATTAAAAATTGGTTAGATAATAATATGTTTGAACTTAATTTTAACAATTCTAATTATATTCACTTCCGTATATCAAATGCAACGATCGGTCTCAATTTACCATTAATGACGCACAATTTTAACTTCTCACCGATTTATACCTACCTAGACATTATTGTTGACGAAAACTTAAAATCAGTGATTCCTATTTTTTATTTTGAAGGGGTTGTTTTTCTGAGGGGGGCGCTCATCTATCATTTACATTTTTATTGTTTACAACTGATTGCGATCAAATGTATAACTGCGTAGAATAAAAACTAATTTAAAACACCAAATGTAATATACAGAATTATGTAGGTATGATATTTATAGACACTTGAATAACATTCAAATAATTATCTTGTCGGACTATAGATTCTAGGTACTGGGTAGGTGACAATAATAACTTGAAGTTATTGTCGTCTTATCGGACTTATCGTATGGATTCCGATTGGCGGCGAATAGCCGATTCCGACAATGTTACGTGTAGTCGTATTTGGTACCGGGTAGTTATTTGACGTCATTGTTATTGTGCGTGTACGTAAAAGTTATATTCGTAAATATTATAAAATGTCCGAGAACGAAAAATTTGGAGAACATTCCATTTGATTTTATTGTACCTCCGACAAATGAAAAATTGTGTTGTGATATTTTAAAAATTATAAAATTTTCACTACAACTTGATGAATCCACTTTACGAGATACCGAAGCCCTGTTAATTGCGTATGTGCGATATTTAAACATCAACGACAAAATAACGGAAGAACTATTATTTGCAAAATTATTACACACGGATACTGAAGGATTAACCGTATTTAAATTAGTAGATAGCTTTTCCACAGAAAAGGGTATTCCTATCACAAATTGTACAGCTTGTGCGACTGACGGAGCGCCTGCAATGATTGGACGTTAACGTGGTTTTATTGCTCATTTAAAAAATGCAGTCCCTGGGATTTTCCCAGTTCATTATGTCAGTCGTCAACATTTAGTATTTAAAAATTTATGACGGTTTGTCAAAAATGCTCTTAAAAAAATCAAAGCTAAATCATTGAATGACCGCTTGTTTCGACAATTATGCCGCGAAAATGATGAAGACTTTGAACGCCTTGTTCTACACACCGAAGTTAGATGGCTATCAAAAGGAAATTGTTTGACACGTTTTTATAATTTATTTCAAACTATACTAGAATTTCTGCAGCCACTTGATAAACAACTTTACGATAAATTACATAAAAGAGACGAATATCACATACCTAGCAGATATTTTTGAAAAACTTATTGAAGTCAATAAAAATTTACAAGGCCATAAAATTAATTTTATCTAAAGAAAAGTTAGTTGACGTGAATTTAATAATTTTTCTAACTTATCAGGCTCAAAAAAAATTTTAGATTCTGACTTAAAAATATACTGTGCACACCTTGAATCTCTTTAAAGATGATGAGTACAAAATTTAAAGATATCAACAATTTATACCAGAAAGGTTATTTAATCCAATTTTAGCAGACATACAAAAATCTATGTATTCTCAACTTTGGAAAGAAGTGGAATTACTTATGGCTTTTCCGTCAACATACCTGGTCGAAAAAGGCTTTAGTGTGGTTCAACAACATTTGACCAAAGCAAGAAACAAATAAGAAATATGTGAAAGAGGAAATTTAAGACTAATGCTGACATCTATTGGGACAGATATAATTTCGTTAGTGGGAAACCATCAACCTTAGGGCAGTCATTAGTCACAAGTACTTTTTGTGTTATTATTTTATATTAGCAATTTCGAAATCAAATTATATAATTCATATTATTAGTAGGTACTTAAATATAAAATTAACTAAATTGTAGCATTAAAATGTTAAATTATATTTTTTCTTTAATTAAATAGCTTATTAAAAAATAAAGTATTAATCTTTAGAAAAAATTGATTGGGGGGGGGGGGTATGAAACTTTTAAAATCTAAAAGGAGCGTTGAGTAAAAAATGGTTAGGAAACACTGCTTTAAATGATCCAACCACGTTTTAACATTATAACCAACATATTTCAACTTTAATTCGAAAACTATTTTATATTTTCAAGACATTACACTAAGCTCACAAATGTTAAAAATGGTTTAGTTCTCTCTTGCTCAACATATAATAGGTTACACAATAATTACATACATTTAACTAACCTGAAGATTACTATACACACATTAATCAAAATAATACTTAAGAACCCTATGTCTTACCCAACAATTTATATAAGGTTTATGTTCTTAATTTAAAACCGATTTATTATAATAATGTAATTTTACATATGATAAAAGTAGATTTGAGTTCTTATTTATAGGTAACCGATCTTCGCTCTGATTGTTTTTAGTTACCAATGATTTACCATTTTAACGGATATAAATTAAATAACTTAATGTATCCCATTTTCTCACCTATTAAAAGTGGCACACTCGTCCTTAGTATCACCACCTTTTTATTTTAATAAAATTAATTTGTTCATATTCAGTCTTAGTCATTGTTTTAAAATCATTCATTCTGATTTTTTTGTTTCTTGTTATATTTTAAGCCATTAATATATATTATATTTAGTTACCTGGTATTTACTGTATTCCATTAGTAGATATATGTTTTTGATAGAGATCAGCACAAGACTTTAAAGACCTTTTTTTTTTTTAAAAAAAAACAATATATTAATATATTATTTATATGACAATATTCAATAAGTATGAAGTTGTTCTACACACAATTTTGTACTATAAGTATTATATGTATTATATTTATAATATTATAAAATGCTGTGTATGTAAATATGTACCAAATTATGAAGTTAGTGAAATTGAATTCTTTTCTAAGTAATAGTATAATATACTTTTTACTACTCTTTCAAAAATGTTGGAAAACATTTAAAACACTTATTGGTCTATAAAATTAAAATCATCCTTACATCCATCTTTAAAATTTGGTGCTTTAAAAACTGACTGCTATTTTCAATGAATTTTGTATATAACTTTTGTTTCTTGTTGACAGACTATCGCAACCACATCCATACTTACAGTCACGTAGGTGTGGTTGTGCCGTGACAGCAATGAGGAGTTTCAATCAGTAAATATTAATTAATTTTGTTATTACTTAAAAATGTACTAATTGATTGATTTTAGGTAGTCCAAGGGCTCGTTCAATTGGTGACAACAATGACTTGTATGACGGTGTGAAGTGGTGGTATTAACAGCGGCAGCAGCAGCAACAAAAAAATTTTTTTTTTTTTTTGTTAACTTTAATTTTAATTTAAAAAAAAAATTATCGGCCATAAAAATATTTAGTAGAATTTAAACTTTCTGTCAGACAAAATTTGAAATCTTCCATACCACACCTCTTATTATTAAATATCTTAAGTTTTTTTTTTTAATGATCATTATTAAAACATAACAACACAATAACATATTTGAAAAATCAAAGTTGATATTGCTGCAACATACTCCTTAAATATTGTGAAAACTCTAAACAACACTTAAAAATTCCAAGTATTAGAATTTGAATACAGGCAAAATTTAACCAAAAAAATTGGTTGAACAACAAACTTATTAAACATATCAATTTTATTGTAATTTTGATGTATTTTTTTTCCTGTTTAGATTTACTTAGTCCAAGTATAGGTTTTATTTATTTATTATATATTTATATTATAATATAATATATATTATTTATATATTTATTATACCTAGGTTTCATCTTTAGCTCCTGCATATTTTCATCAAACCAAAAATGAAATAAAGTATGAAATTCCTCAGTTTTAGAACTTGCTGGTTACATAGTGACAACACTATTTATTCACAACCATTTAATAAATCAAATTCTTTTTTTATTTGGAGGTTATTTATTAAACAATATGTCATTGTTATTGTAATTTTGATGGACTTGTTTGTGATTTTTTTTATGTACCGATTTCCTCTGTAGTAGTGTAAGTTGCAGTACATTTGATGATTTCTGGATAGGCTACATAATTATATGTCGATTAATGAATTGTTCTTTATACTTTATTATTTGTTTAAAATTTTCAATAATTTACAGAAACGAGAAGTATACATGTTTACAATGTTTTGTTCAATTATTAAAAAAACTACAAAGAAAATCAAAAATGATTTCCTTGTTCACCAACTTGATTAAAAATTCATCAAAAACGTACATTGATGTATTAATATTTAAAAGGAAGAGAATATAGGTTGTAGAAATTTAAAATTTAATGTAATTGTAACGCTGTAAATTTGTCAGTTTTCTTTTTACATTTTTTTTCCGGTTTTTCATAATTATTAATAAAACTATAGAGAAAATCAAAAAACAGCTTTTTTTTGACAGTGGCTGTTTGTTCAAAGAAACAAAACCCATCATTTGTCATTTAATAATAGGAGTAATATTTCTGGTAAAAATCATAAGTTGAACATATTAAAATAATTTAACCAGTATGCTAAATAGCCATAAATAATAATCAATTTTAATTTTATTGTTTTTCCCAATTATTAGGGAAACTACTTACTTACTTACTTTAGATATCAAAAAATGACTTTCTGCGACAATATAATACAAGGAACAAAATCGATTTCTTGTTATTTTTAAATTGGAGCAACATTACTGATAGAAAATATTGTGTTAACATAATAAAAACAATGAAAATAGTAACACTGCGGTGTGCCTTAAATATCCGCCATTTTACCTATGATTTTCTCTCAATATTTCTCAATTATTTTGAAAACCCCTTGGAAAATTAAAAAATTACATCCCAATATATCAACAATAAAAAAAACTACCTTTCAGAAAAGGTGCTATAGTTCATACTTCGGAGCAAGTTTTCTAATAGAAAAGTTGTTGACAGACGCCAAAAAAAAAAAAAAACACAAAACCAATAGGTAAAACGAAAATGTTGCAAAAAACATATATATTTACAAATAGATATAATACATGGCAACAAACATATATATTTTATTTTTTTTACAATTTGTTTTAGTTTCAATGCCACGAATATTAGTACTATAAAAAAAAAAACATCTCAACACACTAGCAAATTTCTAAATTTTAGGATTATCCTTGAATATTCTTATTTTCCCTGATTCTCTAACTAAATTTGAATTCTCTTGATGGCATTACTGTCAACTATCTAGCTCAGCTTTATAGTCTGACAATACTACAATTAATAGTTTAATTTGTTTTAATTTTCAAATTAACAAAGTTTAAACCTAAAATCAATTAGGTAACTAGTAATAGTCATTTAACTATTGGATTAATTAGGCATAAGAACATTCTGATTCAGCCCATGTTTGTTTAATATTACAAAAAGAACTATTTTTTAATCAATAATACAATCATTTTACAATAATATCTTGAACTGGTATGTAGGTATGCACCTTGAGAAACAATTAATTTACAATTTGTTATTGGTCATATTTATTTTATTTATTTAATGGAAAGAAACAAATTTGGCTAGTTTCATCATATAATAAATAGGTTATGTGAAGTTAAGTTTAGGGAATATTTCCGTGTTTATACTTTATAAAAGTTGAAACAAAAATTATTGTAGTCTAGCGTATTTGCTTCATTAACCTATGTAGGTATCTATAAACATAATTATGCACATTTGTGCTAACTGATAACAATTATAATTCGTCATAACGAATTATAGGTGTTTACAAAAATTACACAATATACGTCATAATAATAAAATGATTTGGATTAGTCATTTGGATTTGGTGCTGGCTGTTGCCGGGAGCCCGGAACGGCGTCCTGGGAACTACTAGCGATTATGACGGCACCCGCCATAACTAGAAACAGCGCAGAGCGCCTTGTAGCGGAACCCACCATTTACCATTCGCCGTATTTCTATTGCAGTGAGCAATCTATAGTATTTATAATTAATGATATTACCCATGTGTTTATTCTGATTAAACATTCGTTCAGACAATATTTTCAACGTAACATTCAAGGCGGATAGACTTAATATTCGTTTATTATTTAAATTACTGGTGAGTAAACGCTATATTTTATAAACACTAATATTATTGTGATAATTTATTGCTAAAGGCTTGTAAAATCTAATTTAATTTTTATGAATATTCTTATGCATTGGTTATTTGGAACTACAAGTTTTTGATTAATTAATTTTTACAAGCCTATAGATTATATTTTAATAAATATTATATTGGTAGATTATTTTCTTGTTTAGAACAGTTTATGAACATAATCAGTAATTCTTGTTTAGTATCAGTCAATATTAAGACTTATTTTTTCTTAGTAGTTTAATACGTACTTAAAAATACGTTTTCTCATTAATAAGTTTAATGGGAGGACAAAATAAAATTTGCCTAGGGGCAGCAATTAAATCCGTCTCTTGACCATAGTTAACGGTTTCTGTAATTAATGTAAATATCGAGTATAAATTATTGGATTTTAACATAAAATAAATATTATTTCATTATGTTTATAGAATATTAAAATTTCTATTGTTTTTAAAAATGAAATATTGTTTTATAGTATTTATTAATAGCCCAATACAAAATATTTTGGTTTTAACGCAAGCGAATAAAATATATCGTCAATATTTTATGAACTTTAAATTTTAAATCCAATCAAAATTAAATAATTACCTATATAGTTTGATTGGAAAATGATGTGTGGGTATCGGCCAACCTAATTAGAAATTTAAGAACAAAAAATCGTGCCTGTCTATGTTTTCCCGTGCCTATTACAATTAACCATTGTTGTCTTGTAAAAACCAATATATATCTAGCTCCGAGCTAATTTAAAAATAGGAAAAAAAATGCGAAATATTTTCTTTTTATTTGTTTAGGTCTACCATATTCATTAAATATACCAGTTGGAAAATATAACATTCCAGAAAAATTACATTCTGAAAAATTTTTGAAAATTGTATGTCTACAAAAGGCCAATATAACTATTTTGTTAAAACTACGGGTTTTACAAAATTTCCTACGGTTTTTTTCCCGATTTTTCGGTAATTATTACGAAAACAACTTTGTGTATCAAAAAAAAAAAAATAGATTTTCTCATCCAGTGACTATATAATAAAAGTAACGAAATCGATTTCTTGTTATTTTTTTGATTAAAGCAATATACCTGGTAGACGCTGCAGTGAACTGTACATATTTGCCATTTTACCTATAATTTTGTTTCTGGTTTTTCCCAATTATTCTGAAAATCTCTTGGAAAATTAAAATATGACTTCTTTAATATGCAAACTAGAGAAAATTTCCTTCCAAAAAATGCTATAACTGAGCAATATTTTTTTTCGAAAAGTTGTTTAGACAGAATAAAAATACATATAGTAAATCAACAGATTCCTCGCTACTCTCAGAATTTAATAATTTATAATTTTGACCAACTTTTATTTCAGAATTAAAAAATGAGCACGCCACAGCCACTGCTGGCATAGGCTCAGCAGTCCCCGTTGTCACCCCCAAAGCAGTCAATGCAACAAAGGTAACTATTACTATTATTTACCGGTCTTGTTAAAAATACTTTTTGAATTCGAATTATATGCTGCTTTTACCTCTAGGAAATCACCAAAATTCATGTATATGTATTTATATCTTTAAAACCCTTGGTGAAATTTTATTATCAAACGACAATTTATTAAATTTTATGATGACACTGTATATAATTACACAATTTAATTTCATTATAATCACTACAATATTTTAAATGTTACAGACGCTTCACATAAAAAGAAAATCTAGTTGTGAGATCTTTAATACACTTATTACTTATATATGGCGAACATCGATTACATATACAGTACACCTGTATAAGGAAGCAGTATGAGTTGATGCATACAGCAATTATTATTATAATTAACATCTTGAAGTACATTGGAAAACAAAGTCTTAATATTTGTATGTCTTGAAAACTAAGCCTATGCTTGTGCTACAAATGGCAAATCTTTGAAGAAAAAAACCCATAACCATGTTAATATAGTAAATGGTGACAATAGGAGTCTGGGTGATTCAAACCATTTACCAGAATATGTGTGCTACAAATAGTCCAAAGAGGTACAGATCTGATAACGACAATTTATGTTCAACAGTATTATCCTGAATCATCCGAGTATTTGCATGACATATAGGCTATCGATCAGTAGAGCAAAGTAGCAGTCATAATATTGGAGCTCTTTAAAATTGAATATTAAAATCGACTTCCAAGGAAACCTAGAAAATTTGTTAACAAATGCATACAAATTTAAATCGAATATGGGAAAGGTCTGAAATGTATGAAATGTTGGTGTGCACAGGCTCCATTAAAAATTACTTATCTTACTTTTAATAGTTACTAATCATTATTATTATATTATATTATATTGATTTTAGGGCCTTTGATGAAAAAAGCTGCCAAAGGTGAACTTTTTGATTGTTTTAAGGAGACACGAATATAAAAAAGTTAGTTATTGTTAATACAACAGAATTTCTTCTACTAGATTTCTACCAAAATACATAAAGCACTACAAGTAATTCTTATTTCATTTTAAAGAAGCCCAAATTAAAGCAAGCAATTTTACACTTATAAGAAAAGCATGTATAGTTAATCTGGTTCAATGAAATGATCTAAATATTCTTATATCTCCTAAAATAATTTTGTTTATATATATCCACCACAATGATTATATTGTTTTTAATAGTTCTTAACTTCTGAATTGTAATTTAACGTTTAATAATAATTTGAAAAGACAAATTTTTATATTGTATACTCTAATGTTTAAATAGTATTAAAACAATATGCGTGCATAGGGTATACATCCTGCAAAAATGTGTGCCTACTTTAAATTTTTGATGAAAAATTGTTTAATTATTTAAAACTGATAAGTGTAACTGAGTAGGTATAATTATTGCTAAATATACTATATATTTACTAAATATATTTCGCCATGGGTATAATTTATTCTGTATCATTATTTTTTAGGATGTTAAAATTAAATTTGTATTGTAGTTAATTGAAGATTTTAACTCTGTTTATCTTGTTTAAAAAAAAAAATTCTGTTTGAATACTTTCCATTATTTAAAAAACAAATTCTGATTGAGTTATTTTATGAATTATAACTGTATTATGTGGAAAATAAAATAATGCAAAATCAACGATTAATCAGAAATAAAATTTGTTTATTAAGTACACAATGATATTAACTAAAAATTTGTATTATATATTTAAGTTAATAAACTAAATGTATATAACGCTAAAGTGGTGAAGAACACATTAAAAACATTAAATTGGAAAATATCGCAGCCGCTGTACTCTTCAGACCTTGTCCCATCTGACTATCACCTTTTTGCATCGATGAGACACTCATTCGCAGAGCAGCACTTTGGTAATTTTGAAGATCTCAAAAAATGGCTGATTGAATGGTTTGCCTCAAAAAAGAAAAAGTTTTTTTTGAATGGTATCCATGATTTGCCCGAAAGATAGGCAAAATGTGTAGAATCCAATGGTCAATACTTTGAATAAAATTTTTTTGAGATTTCCTTGAGAATTAAGTGTTTCCTTTATCAAAAAAACCGGAAAACTTCAACTACAACCAACAGACAATAGTTATCAGGATTTCGCGAGCAGTACCAATTTGGTTATTTATACAAATATATTTATTATAAATTATAAATATTATTATAATTATAATTATAAATATTATTATAATTATAATTATAAATATTATTATAATTATAATTATAAATTCGTTGTCTACCATTTAGTATCAATTGGTCTGTCGTACTGCTGACGTACAAAACGAGTGTTTGATTGCAATTTTCAAAAATTTCAAGAATTTAGTTTTATTTTGTTCAATTTAAATTATTCGGTGCAATTCGGTACCAATTTGGTTATTTATACAAATATATTTATTATAAATTATAAATATTGTTATAATTATAATTATAAATTCGTTGTCTACCATTTAGTATCAATTGGTCTGTCGTACTGCTGACGTACAAAACGAGTGTTTGATTGCAATTTTCAAAAATTTCAAGAATTTAGTTTTATTTGGTTCAATTTAAATTATTCGGTGCAATTTGTACCAAT